AGGCAGGCTTCTCTCAGCTTATTAGAGGCGGCGAGCTTATGCTGCATCAGAACGCGCTTCAAGCAGCCCGGATTACTGAGCTTGAAGAGCAATTAGCAGTGATGACCAAAAGGAAATCGCGCAAAAGGAAGCGGATCCAGCATGGCGGCACAATGGAGTATAGTGAGGCAGCAGCCCAGGTGGCCGCAGAGGCCTCTATAGCCGCTGAGCGGTCGAAGAAGGCTTGTCGTGGTGGTGATCAAGAGAGAGCCCAACCAGCTTTACGGCGCTGTAGGAACTGCGGCAAGACTAGGCACAACGCGCGAACGTGTAAAAAGGATGTAGAGGAGACTTCTGAATTAGAGGTTAGTACAGCGTACACAGGCTCCTTGTATAATAGCGATGAAAATAGAAATTTGTAACTAGTGTTGGTTGTGCCAAAACATTTTGAGCTGTTGGGTGGTTTGAGCTGTTGGGTGGTGGAATACGTTACCTAGAGAACTAAATCCTTACATTCTGTATACTACCTTACTTATTACACATCCTCTAGCTACTGAACATAGTCTATTTCTTACTATTAAAGTATAAGTACTCCTAACACATTTAAGACTTAGCATACTAACACATCTTCTATATTAATAAGGAAGGCTTCCTACTAGCCTTTAGGGACATGTTCCTTAATATATTTATAAAGGTTAACTACTAAAAGGCCTTTAAGGTATTAGGGCTTATTCCTACTAATATATAAGTAGTGTTAGATTGCCTTAAAGTGCAGCTGCATACCCTACTAGCAGTACCTCTACCTAAAACACTGTAGTAATCTAAGACGCTAAGCAATACACACAAGTTTAGATCTTAATTTAAGCTTGTAAGTAACTCCTTCTAACAATCACTAAGTGCAGCGCAAGAGGGATTCTTAAAGCTTGTAAAAGGGGCTAAAGAGATGCTGCATGAAAATGTCCTTATTAAGGCCTGCGTGCGAGAGCTTGAAGAGTAATTAGCAGTAATAACTAAGAGAAAATCGCGTAAGAGAAAGCAGATTCAGCATAGTGGCACACTTGAGTATGGCCTAGCAGCATCGCGGGTAGCTGCTGAGGCGTGTGTAGCAGCTCAGCTATCTAAGAAGACTTAGGGTGGAGGTGGTCAACTAGGAGCTCAGTCAACTGTTTAGCGCTGTGGGAACTGCAGCAAGACTAGACACAACACACGAACGTGCTAGGAGGGTGCAGAAACATCTTCTAAATCTGATGCAAGCACGCAGTATGCTAGGTCACTGTTTAATAGTAAGTAGTTGTAGTTGTAGTAACTTGTGTTAGTCGTGCTAAGAGAAAATGGCTGGTTCAGTGATATGGCCGGCTCGGTGATAATCTACGTTACAATAGAGAGCTAGAAGGCATAACAAGAGCCTTAAAGCTTGCAGCTTCTATAGCTACAGCAAAACAAGAGATCTAAGTCTTTACAGACAACTAGGCAGCTATTCTAAGGCTAAAGACTCCCTCTAATAACCCTAGACAAGCTTAGCAAATCTGCTGTATAAATGCAGTAAAGGTAATTCACAGCAAAGACGCAATAATTAGCCTACACTAGGCCCTAGGACACCTAGATATTACAGGAAATAAAAAAGCAGACGCTTTACTAAAACAAGCTATAAAAAAGCAACTAGTATCTTATACTACAACCCTTGCAATAACAGGTATTAGGATTAAAGCTGTTACAAGACAAGAGTAGGAACACAAAATCTAGGCCTACTCTATAAAAGCAAAGATTAGAAATCCTAGCACCTATATAGCAAGATTTAAGCTAAAACTAACAAGCAAAATAACACTACTAAAAAACACTAGAAGAAAAATTGCAAACGTATACTACTAGTTTAAACTTAGAAATAGATATAATAAAGCATACCTACAAAATATATAAAAAACAGAAAGCTCTTAATGCAGCTTTAGATATAACGTAGTTCACAAGCGAGCGGTCTAACCCAAGCAAGTGGTCCACCTAACAGAGTTAAGATAATTGCAATGCATATGCTGCAACACCACCACCACTTAATGCAATTTGCAGGTGATAGAGATACTATTTAGACTTATTACTATTAGATGTATTAACAATTTTAACTAAACAGGTGCAAGTGTTGTGGCTACTCTCTCTATAACGCCTGCAACACCTCTGTGTGCACACCTTCTTTACAGGCTCTCCACCCCCCTACTGCCTACTACCCTCCCTTTTAGCTATTAAATTAGCTACCTTACCTACTGTAAGACTCTCTACTGCCTAAATATACTTCCTCTTTCAACCTCTAACCTCTGTTGCTATCTCTACTGCCTTGCAAAGCCCTACTATTTCCTGTTGCATTAACACGCTATCATGCCTTATCCATGTAATGCCCTTGTTCAGCTGCTCAACTGCTCTAAGCAGAGGAGAAACTAGGGAATCTCTGTGCAGTTGTACACGCTCACAAACTAGCGTTAACTGAGCCTCTATCTTACAGAGGTTGCTTAGAGTTTTTAATTCCCATAGGGTGTCCTCTAGCTTTAGTAGAGTTAGTGTACAAAGGACCACATTAAGCTTTAATATTACCACCTCTAGGTTGTGTAGAACTAGTCTAGCGCCCCTAAAGCCTACACAGATATTCTCCTTTATAATTAACCTCTTAAAAGCTGCTTTAAAGGCTGGTAGGAAAGCCTACTTCTTAATCTACTTAGAGCTGTACCATGCTAAGCTACTAATCTCATCACTATATGCCTACTTTAAAGGCGAAAAGCAACCTATATTAAGTGGCTGCAGCAGGTGCAACAAGCAGGCATACAGAGAACAATAATCTTCTCTTCCTTACAGTGTTTGTAGAACTTATGTAAGATGTGGCTCTCATAGCCGTCCACAATTAGCAGCCTGTGTGCACCCACCTTCTAGTCTTTTATATAGGTGTTAAAGTGCTTCAGCTAGGTAATACTAAGCTTTCTTAATATCTAGCTATTAGGACTAACCTTAATTACCTAATCCTAAGGTAGATTGTGAAACTATAAGGTAATAAGGACCTTGCTAGGGAAGATAAGGAAGGGTAGGATAGCCTATCCTTTAGCATTAACTCCTTGTATATTAGTAACCTAACTACAGTTCCCTAGCTGTAGGCTCTTTGTGCTACGCTTCTTAGAGCCTATAAAGACTATCTAGCTATAGATAACCCCTATTATAAAGCCTGTCTTGTTAAAGTTGTACATGTCTTTGTCTGTGATGCTGTACTTAGCCTTTGTGTTAGCAACTAGCTTAAGCTAGGGCGTTATAACGCGTGCATCTTTGTTAAGGGCTCGCTAGCGATCATATAGACAGCTCCTTCGAAGCTTGATCTCAGGCGTACGCGTCTTGAAGTTGTCTACCTAGTGCTTGCCAACAGGCTCTCTACCGCGCTCAGCAAGCAGATCATTAGCTATATCTCACACTATAGCCTTTGTAGCAGGTATTCCTCTTGTGTCAAGCTCAAGTATACGTTGTACAAGGGCCTCCTCCTCTAGTTTGCTTAGCTTCTTTAAATTAGGCTCGCAATCGCGTTAAGAGAGGGCTCCTTAGCATTATTAGCAGACAGTAGTTTAAGGTACGCTGAAGGCTGCAATAGCATGTCTTCTACTCTTATTATAATCTTTAATTATAGCTTAGATAGCAAGCTGTAAGGTCCCTTTAGTATAGGTTAATTACACGTTGTGTTAGGATGGCATTGTAATGCAAAGTAGTTATTAGGCTATCATAGTTGGGATGGACCGCTTGCTTGGGTTGGACCGCTCGCTTGTGAACTACGTTAACCTGTTTTATCAGTGAGCGCCCCACCTCAGTGAGCGCCCCACGAACACCAGCAAAGCGCATGCGCGACACTCAACGCGTAATGTCTCAACAACCACAACCTTACAAGCCCTATACTGAAGCTGACGTGCAGCTTGCCCTCTCTAACATTAATGCGACTAGATTACGAGCCTGCGACGTGCTGAGGCAGTCTACAGCGTTCCTTGTAGGATGATACAACAACAACGTGACAGGAAGCCCTCTAGACGCGACTGCAAGCCTAGATTAAAGTACCTAACAAAGCTATAAGAGGAGGTAATTCTACAGCATATACTTGACAAGAACCTATGTAGAGTACCGCCCTTAAAGCTACACATACAAGATATGGCTGATAGAATGCTGCGCGACCGCGGTAGTGAGCCTGTTAGTAAATGCTAGGTTGACAGGTTTATTAAGCGTACACCTAAGCTGCCCACGCGCTGGACTTGTCTATACAATTACTAGCAAGCTCTCTACAAAGACCTAGCGATTATTAAGGCCAAGTTTACGCTAGTTTAAAATATAAAGGCAAAGTATAGTATTGTAGACAATAATATATACAACTTTAACAAGTCTAGCTTCCTAATAGGCAAGATATATTTATAACTTATTATAATAGGTAACGTGTTTCACAAGCGAGCGCTGCACCCAACCGAGCGCCGCACTTTCAACAACAGAACGCCTGCGCAGCGCTATATCACAACACAACACGAATAAATAATTGTTTGCAGGCCTAGATAGTATTATTTAGAAGCTTTACTATTATCTGCGTCCTCTATTTCTACCTTGTAAGTGCAGGAATTATGTCTAATCTCACTACAACGCCTACAGCGTTGTCTAACACGCACCCTCTTTGCAGGTGTCTTACCCTTACCACAACCCCTACCCTCCTTTTTAGTAATTAAGTTAGCTACTTTGCTAACTATAAGGGTCTCCTCTGCGCGTATATATTATTACTTATAGGTCTTGCGCTTTATAGACGCTTCTACAGTGTCTTAAAGGCAGCCTATTTCCTCCTGCATTAACACTATATTATAAGCTATCTGCTGAGCGCCCTTTGCTAACTGTTTAACCTACTCATCTAACAAACTTGCTAGAGACCCTTAATAGATTTAAATCTGCTTTCAAATTAGAGTTAACTGCTCCTCTACTTCGTGAGCAGTGCGTGGTGTCTTTGGCTCCCAGGCGACGTCGCTGGGTTTTGGTGGCGTTGGCGTGCGCAGGCGCACATCAAGCTTTAATAACACCACCTCTAGGTTGTGTGGGACTAGCCTAGCACCTCTAAAGCCTGCGCGAACGTTCTCTCCAGTGAACGCCTTACTAAACGCTGATTTAAAGGCTAGCAGGAAGGTTTCCTTGTTAATATAGTGGATGCGACTGCATGCCAAGGCCGAAACCTCGTCGCTATACAGGCGCTTTAGTGGCGAGAAGCAGGCGACGTCAAGTGGCTGCAACAGGTGCGACGAGTGCGGGGGCATACAGAGAGTGATTATCTTCTTCTCTCTGCAGAGATCTTGGAAAGCCACTAAGCAGTGGCTCTCATGGCTGTTAATAATAAGTAGCTGGTAGACCCTAACTAGCTTTGCATGCGTATCAAAGTGGTGGAGCCAGGCAAGCGCTAGATTATTATTAGTCTAGCTAGTAGGACTAACATTAATAACGCAGTCCTGTGGGAGGTCCTTAGTAAACTAGTTAGAGATAAGAACCTTGCCTGCAAGGATAAGGAATGGTGGGATAACCTTCCCTATTAACCTAACGCCTTATACTAGGGTAACCTACTCACGATTGCTAGGTTAGATCTTCTTCTACTTCCTAGGCTTCTCTGAGCCTGTTACTACTAGCTGCAACAATATCTTGCCTATTAGGAAGCTAGACTTATTAAAGTTGTACACATCCTTGTCTATAATACTATACTTCGCCTTTATGGACTGAACAAGCGTGAACCAGGGCTGGATAACTGCTGGGTCCTCGCAGGCAGCCCGCTGGCGATCGTATGGGCGGGTCCACCGCTTCTGGAGCTCTGGTGTACGCTTTACCAAGTTGTCAACCCAGTTCTTGCCAACAGGCTTTGCGCTGCGCTCTCTTAGCAGTTTATCTGCCATATCTTGTACGTCTGCCTTTAAGGAGGGTAGGCCACGCGCAGATTCCTCAAGTATACGTAGTACAACTGCCTCCTCTTCTAGCTTTGTAAGGCGCTTTGCATTTGGCTCGCAGTCGCGTCAAGAGCGTGTTCTGTCGCGTTGGCGTTAGATCATTTGTTTAGGCACTTTGTAGACTTTCTCAGCGCGTCAGATACTTTGAATTTGGTTTCTTAAGATATTAGATATAGCAAGCTGTACATCAGCTTCAGTATAGAGTGTAGGAGCTTGTTGTGGTTGAGACATTACGCGCTGTTGTTGCGCCGGCGTTCTGGCAGCGAGAGTGCGGCGCTCGGTTGGGTGCGGCGCTCGCTTGTGAAACACGTTATAGAGAAACCTAGGAAAGTGAAGAAGATTTAGCCTAGTGATTGTAAGTAGACTATGTTAATACAGGGCGTCGGCGCAACAGGGCGTGTTATCCTACCCTTCCTTATCTTTGCTAGCAAGGTTCTTATCTCTAATTAGTTTACTAAGGACCTCCCACTCAATTAGGTTATTTAAGGAAGCCCAACAGGCTACATAAATAACAATCTAGCGCTTGCCTAGCTTAATTACTTTAATACGCATGCGAGGCCTGTAGGAGCGTATAGGCTGCTAATTATTAACAGCCACAAGAGCTATTGCTTAATAGATTTCTAGGATTGCTGCAAGGAGAAGAAGATTATTGCCCTCTATATGCCTCCACACTTGTTACACCTACTGCAGCCGCTTGATGTTGCCTGTTTCTGCAGTAGTCCTTAAAATCCTGGTTAAGGTGGCTCTCATGGCCGTCCAAAATGAGCAGCCTGTACGCCCCCACCTGGCTCGCCTTTGTATGCGCGTCGAAGTGCTTCAGCCACTCAAGGCCGAGCGCGTTGTTCGTCCAGCCGCTCTTGGAGACGGAGAGCTTCCAATTGCGTGGTATATCTGCCTCCTCGTACCAGGCAGAGATGTAAACGCGTCCTTTGTAGATAATGAAAGGCGGGGTACAAGATCTAGCAGCGCAGACGCTCTGGATGACTGTTACCTACTTGCGATCACCTGGCTGAACAAGCTGAGGTTGATTATGTCTCTCTGCGCCTGTAACAACCTTTATTAAGCTAATAACACCTATCTAGAAGCTAGTCTTGTTAAAGTTATGCACGTTGTGGTTGTGTACGCTGTATTTAGCTTTTGTGTCCTCTACTAGCTTAAACCACGCGCTAATTGTCTCTAGATCCTCCTGCAGCATCCTCTGCCTATCTTTAGCTTGATTAAAGGTTATCTTGAGCGTAGCTGAACGCGTCACAAAGCGCTCAGCCTAGTGCTTGCCAACAGGCTGCCCACCGCGTACACCCAACAGTTTGTTGGCTATATCTGCCACCTCGCACAGCTAGGGCGCGAATCCTCGCGAATTAAGGTCAAGAATATATTGTATAATTATTTGCTCTTTAGTGCGCGTAAGCTTATGTTGTGTGTTACGTCTATTGTTAATATAGAGTCTGCCTCTATACCTAGCACTTAAGGTTGTACACAGTACGTTAAATGCCTAAGCAGAACTTTAGAGGCTTTTAAATTTATATAATTAGAAAGTAGAAAGGGCAAGATTAATTCTACCCTCTTATTTAGATAATTACATATCTTGTTAATAAGGCATTACGTGTTAATATTAATAGTTGTGGTCTTGGCAAGAAATGGCCCAGGTGCTGGGTTGGCCCGGGTGCTGGGGGTTTACGTTAATTGTATAATTTGCATAAGCTAAGTAGGTGGGCCTCTTCTTAGCCTTAGGAGAGCAGCTACTTCCTCTTGTTCTGTGCTAGACTCTAAGTCTTCTTATTATAACGTAAACCCCCAGCACCTGGGCCAACCCAGCACCCGGGCCAAAAAAGCTTGGCAGTACCAACTCACGTTACAACTCTTCAATTTCATCACTATTTAACATAGAGCCTGCGTACGCTGTGCTTGTATCTAATTTAGAATATGCCTCTTTATCTTTTTTACACGTTCGCGCGTTATGTCTAGTCCCTCCACAGTTTCTACAGCGCTGTAGAGCTAGTTAAGCTTATTCTTAATTACCACTACCACAAGCCTTCTTTGACCGCTCAGCGGCTACAGAGGCCTCTGCGGCCACCTGAGCTGCTGCCTTACTATACTCTATAGTACCACCTTGCTAGATCTGCTTCCTTTTGCGCGATTTCTACTTAGTTATTACTGCTAATTGCTCTTTAAGCTTAGTAATCTAGGCTGCTTAAAGCGCGTTCTGATGCAGCATAAGCTTGCCACCTCTAACAAGCTGAGAGAAGCCTGCTTGCACAGTAATAGGCGACCAAGTAAAAGACTCGCGTACAAGCTTTAACTAAGATCTAAACTTATAGGTATTGCTTAGAGTCTTTAACTGCCACAGCGTTTCTAGGAGGAGGGGTTCTAGCAGGGCACACAGGCGAACTTTAAGGTAATCTAACACAACCTGTGTGTTAAGAGGGACTAGCCCTGCTGCCTTAAAGGCCTTGCAACAGTTCTCTACTATAAATATATTAAAAAACACGTCCTTAAAGGCAGGGAGAAAGCCTTCTTTGTTAATGTAGAAGACATGCTTGTGTGCTAAGTCTTGTACACGCTAAGAGTACTTGCGCTTTAACAGTAAGAAGTAGACTATATTAAGTAGCTAGAGGATGTGCAATAAGTGAGGTAGCATGCAGAGGGTAGGGATCATGTTTTTAAGGCAGTAGTCCTTAAAATCCTAGTTAAGGTGGCTCTTATAGCCGTCTAAAATGAGCAGCCTGTACGCCCCTACCTGGCTTGCCTTTGTATGCGCGTCAAAGTGCTTCAGCCACTTAAGGCTGAGCGCGTTGTTCGTCCAGCCGCTCTCAGAGACAGAGAGCTTCCAATTGCGTGGTATATCTGCCTCCTTGTACCAGGCAGAGATGTGAACGCGTCCTTTGTAGATGATGAAAGGCAGGGTACAAGATCTAGCAGCACAGATGCTCTAGATAACTGTTACCTACTTGCAATTACCTAGCTAAACAAGCTAAGGTTAATTACGTCTCTCTACACCTGTAACAACCTTTATTAAGCTAATAACACCTATCTAGAAGCTAGTCTT